AGGCGGCTGCGGTCGGCTCTGCCGGGCAGCGCTAGAAGAGGTCAAGCGACTTCGTACTGGGTGTCGCAACTGGGGGCATTGGGTCCTGCTGTGGGCATCGCCAGTTCCTCTCCACATCTGGCCCCTTCCCTTCCTGAACCTCTTTCACAGCTCCTTGCAGCCCTGGCTGCCCTCGCCCCAGTCCCAGTCTCCAGCGAGGTGGTCTCCTGGTCCCCCGTGATGGCAGCAAGGGACCCCCACTCTTTTGTCCAGCATCTCTCACCTAAAATCCAGAACAACTCCAGGAACCCCTTTTTTAATGCCTTGCTTACTTACTATCTCTTTTGTGTGGGTTTTTTTTCCCCCAAGTTCCAGCAAGGAGATTTAGAGGCTCGATATCCTCCAGGTCTAAATCCCTTAAGTGGCTTTAACCTCTTTAATTGGCTTAGGGATGCTCTGCACCTTTCCCGTCTTGCATCCCGTCATCTCCTCCAGCCCAGCGGTGCTTTCTGCCAGGTCAGGGTCTGCTTGGAGCACACGGCAATGTGATGGCACGGGAATAGCAAGTGTGTTGGAGGAGGAAGGGCCAGATGGCACGTACGTTCCCCAAAGCCACCCAAAATTCTCCGTAGCCTCTTCCCCTGCCACCGCCCTGCCCCGTTTCGCTCTAGCCATCACGTGCAGCTAGGTTACATCTGTCTCTCTTGTGTTTTGTTTTTCTTTTTAACAAGGTCAAGGTAGGAGGTTGAAGTTTAGTCTCCCGTCCCTGCGACGACTCAAAATCCAGCGGAAATCTCTGCCCACCAGTGAGTTTGATGGAGTAGCCATTGACTATGGAAAGGTAACCGTAGCCTTTGTCTGATATAAGCCCATGCCTCAGGCCAGGTCCCAGCGCTCTTCCTCCGCTCTCCCCATCCCGCTCTCCCTCGGCTGCTGTTGCCGTATCTGGCGGTAGGGGCTCCGGTGCTGGGTCAGCACTGGTCCCAGCAAGGACTGGCGGTGAGCGGCGGTGCTTTGGTGGTGTGGGATGGAGCTAGATGGTGCTGCTCTGCGGGGCCAGCCCGGCACGGCACATGCCATGGCTGGCGGGGGGGGCGGGGGGCG